GGCGGCTCCGATTCCGGCCATAGCCGACACCGGCGGCTCTGATTCCGGCCATAAACGGACGCCGACTGGTCCGCCTCCATCACAGAAGATTCCGGCGAGTACTCCACCGCAGAAGACACGACATCGACCTGATTCTTCTTCGATTCTGGCCTTAGACGACCTCGGCTGTTGCTTGATTTCATGTAAGTCCGACTCCTCTTTTGATTTTCAATTTCAGCTAGTTAACTCCGGATTGATTCCTATTATTATTTGCTACCGCATTCCACTGTTATTTGCTTATTTGCAAACTGTTTTTCCACTTGATTCCTACTCTGATTTACAATTGTAATTTGTTTATTTGCAATTGTTATTCCACATTTGATTCCAACTTACTTTCTATAGATTGGTACATTATTTTGAAGTGAAGCGTCCTTTAGGATCTAGTGCTAGAGCTAATGGAAATGCATATACTCCTCAAGTTGTTGTAAAACAAGTGGATTTGATATCAAAAGCAAGGGCACACACATTGAGATCTTTTAATCGAGAGAAAGGTGTATTTGAGTTGATAACTCAAAGAGGAAAAAAATGCAAGTAGTTAATTTGGACAAAAAAACTTGCACATGTGGTAAGTGGGAGATATTTAAATGTCATTGTTCTTATGTTTTGAGTGTATGTGTCAAACTATCATTGAATAGTTGACAATATGTTCATAAATGTTACTCCATTGCAGAGTATTGTTCTACTTGGGCATCCGAGTTTTCCCCACTTCCTCATGAAGCGTATTGGCCACAATCTTCATCTAGACAATTGCTTCCAAATTTAGAGCTTTTACGGAATAAAAAAGGTCGTCCTCGTTCAATAAGACTATGAAATGGAATGGACATCAAAGAAGGGAAAAATGGGTACCTTTGTGGGATTTGTAGGCAAAGTGGTCATAATTGGAAAAAATGTCCCTCTAAGCCAAGGTGAATGCAGAGACATTAAAGCTAATCGGTTCAGTCAATAGAAATATTTATTTTTTCATTCCGTTTTTGTAAGAAGTCGTTATTGGATTTGTACCCAAAAAATATATCGTACGTTTGATGTTGGCTTTAATCTACGATGTGTAACATTATTGTTTATCAATTAATCTTATTTACAATTAAGGACATTTATTGAGATTTCATTAATTTGTTATGATGATTAAATGAGATATAATATATATATATATATATATATATATATATATATATATATATATATATAAAAGTTAATATCAAAGAGTTAAAAAAAGGTCAAAAATTATATTAAAAAACACTAAAAATTAAAACAATAGCTGAAAATATTAAAAAAGTTAAAAAAAAAAAATACTATTTTGGTAAATATTTTGACTACTATACTGTTTTGGTAAATATATTTGAAACTACACTTATTTGGTTAATATTTTTTTCAAACACACCCATTTGGTCAAAAACTCATAACCGTTGCATTTTTCATTTCAATCCCTCCCCTTTGGGGATAATCAAAGTCTATTGGTCTTTCCATATATCACCATTACTTTTTCATTCATTCTCTTAGGCTCTGTTTGATTTGTGTCTGACCGAGTCGAGTCAGACGTTTTTGGCTGACTCGGTCAGATGTAGGTGTTTGATAGATTAATTTTGGTTGTCTGACTCACAAAGAAATATCTGAGTGGGTTAGAAGAAAAAAAGGAGCTGAGCGAGAAAGGGTTTCTACGTTTCCAATTTTACCCTTGCCTTTGTAGAACTATCAGCGCCTCCATCCCCTTCGGTTTTTCTCCTCTTTCAACACGTTTTTCTTCTTCATAGAACAACAAGATCCTCGATTTGAAGTTTCGATTTTTATGTTCTGATTTGAACAACAAGAATCGTCGATTTGAAGGTCCGATTTTTTTGTTCCTCTTCTCATCAGGTAACTTCTTTTCTTGTTTAAAGATTCGTTTTTCTTTTTGATCTTTTTTGTTGTTCTTTTCCTATTTGGTGTTCCGATTTTTGCTATTATATAGCCGATTTTTGTTGTTTGTTGTTGTGTTATTGTTTGCTGCTAATGTATAGTTCCTTAAGACTGATTGGGTCATATTTTTGCTGTTTGAATTTCAGATTTTTGGTGTTATGTTGATGTTTGTTGTTTTGGTCAATTTGCAAATTAGCTGTTTGAATTTCAGATTTTGAAGCCTTTGTTTGATTCTTTAACAATTGATGAAATTTCAGATTTTGAAGCCTTTGTTTGATTCTTTAACAATTGATGAAAACGAGTGTTTAGTAGTTAAAATGAGTGAAATATGACAATCTTTGAAGTCTGTATTTGCTTCAATAATTCTTGCATTGCCTAGTGGACAAGAAGCTGAGATTTTAAATGAATGGTTAGAAAATAAGCAAGCCTTCATGTAATTGTTGTTATTATTGTTGTTGTTGTTGTTTATTATTATTATTGTTCTTGTTGTTATTATTATTATTATAATATTGCATAGAAACGTGTAGACCGTAGAGCATCGGGGTACCATAATCATTTTGCATCGGTCAGCACATTCAGTCAGATTTCCAATCAAACAGCATGATTTCTTACTCAGTCAGAATTTCTTACTTAGACAGACCTTTTTCAGTCAGCACTTTCTCAGTCAGCAACTATCAAACGGGGTCTTAGTCTTTCCACATATAACCATTTCACTTTTCTTTTAAGTATCTTAATATTTCCACATAAAACCATTATCCCTTTGGTTTTAGTCTCTTGGTCTTCCTACGATAACTCTATAACGCTATACAATACCACCATTTCATTATTAAAACCACACAACTATTGCACCTTCTCATCTAATCTCACACACAACCATTACCCTTTTTTTTTAACTCTCTTAGTCTCTCCAAATATAACTATTACCCTTTTTGTTTTAATCTCCAGGTCTTCCTGTGGAGGATAAGCAGGCATGCCAATAAGGTTGACCTGAAGTAGGTTACCGTGTTGGGTGATTAAAACATCCAAATGCTTCACCCTGTATAACATATAAACCATATGATTCATCTTTATCAAATAATATCATTTTCATATATTCATCACCTTCATCATCTTAAAATAGAAAAATCATGGCTTGGATTTCTGAAACATGTTAGTGTTATAGGAGAGTCGTAGAGTTCTATTCCAAGTCGGTTGGCCCCCTCCAGGTGACTGACTGGATCTCAACAAGATTAACAACCTTAATAAAAATTCTACATAATCGAGTCAACACCCTAATCTTATCTCTTCGATAACACTCATGGTTTATTCCATACCAAAAGAGAACCTTATGATAGATCCATAACCTTAGAACACCATCGTCCTATTATAAAAAAACACGACACTCTCACACCTCTTTATGTAATATCATATGCAAGGATTACCTTTTTCTTTTAAGTCTCTTGGTCGTCCCACATACAACCATATATGCATGAACTTCACCATCTAAAAATAGAAACAACCCCATATCAATCATCCTACAAACCGTTTTGGTGTTATATATAGCCATATAATGATATCATGCTAAAAAAACATTTTTTGAACCCATTAGTCATTTAGGAAAGTTGTACGTTTTATAAAACACCCATAAGTTTCATGATTTTCAGGTTTATAAAAAACATATTACAAAAAAACCCTATAACTTCTCGATATTTTGACTTCTTACGGGAAGTTAACTTGCAAACCGCTAATAACTGGGCAATATGATTTTTTTTTTAAATGTTGAAGGTTCTAATTGGAAAAACTAAAACTTGTGGTTTAAACTGAAATACATGAAATTTTTATGTTATTTTATGAAATTAACCCCTTAAGTATGTAGATTTGTAACTAAAATTAAACCCCTTATATGCAGACTTGCGAGTTGCGAGTTGCGACTAGCTAGTTAGTAGAGGTATATACTTTCAAACCAAATCAAATCAAATTTTAAATGAATAAACCTTTTCCATTTTATGATACATACTTTTTTTTTTTTTTTTTTCAAACCAATTCTTCTTCATAGGTTTTTGGACAAAATGGTAACGATGTAATTATGAGTTTAGGATCAAATTAAAACCGGTTAATTAGTTTATCCGATTTATTTGATTCTTTTAATTGATATAAAAAGTCTAATTTTCAATAATTACTCATACAATAAATTTCAAATGTGCTTTAGCTACACTGTCTGGTTTGGAGGGTTTGGCTTGGCTTCAATACCACCAGTGGTTTAGAGCCGATAACCGTTCTCATCTTCCAATATAATCACCGCTTACTTCGACCTTCTACCTAACCCTATGTGAGAAACTAGGGATGAGCAAATGAACCGACCCGGTTGGAACTGGCCCGAACCGGACCCGGCCCGAGAACCGAAGTCGGCCGAAATTAAGAACCGAACCGGACCGCCGGTTCTACCTGTTCTTGCCGTGTCTTCAATGTTGGAACCGGTCATCGAGAAATAGCAACATACGGTTCCGGTTTTTGCCGGTTCTACCGGGTCCGGTTCCTACCGGTTCCAAAAATCTACAAGAATATCGTCCCGGTCCCGGTCCCGGCCCCGGCCCAACCGGTTCCATGGCCGGTTCCCCGGTCCACGAAATTTGTACAAAATGACTCATCCATATAAATTAACAAATTTTAGCTTAATCCTTAGAAAGTACAGAAAAGGACTAATGATTCACTTGAGATGCCCACAATCTTTTCCACATCCCTCCCTCTCTCACCAATCTAATTTATAAATTCAAATTAGGTGTCTGTGTCTTCACACTCATGATATCATGTTACTTTTATATATAATACCAGATCTATCCATGATCCATACATCTTTTAAGCACATGCACCCTATCAATTACATGATCCCTAATCCCTTTTTTTATTCTCTTATTTTAACAACTATAATACAACACCTATCTCTTACTCTTTTATTCTTTACCTTAAAGCAATTGAAATGACTTTACATCTAAGCCTAATTACCTTTGTGCTACAAAGCTACATGTAACATGGATGATACCCATTGGTAGTTGACGTTTTTACTCAACTTGGTTGAACAATGAATATGTCACGAATTTAAATGTATTACTATTACACATCCAATGACAAGAAAAATGAACAAACACACCTAGAAACATAAGCTTTCTATGAACTATAACTGCCACTCTCTTACATTTGAATATTTGAAAGAGAGAAGAGCAAAAATACAGATAAAAGAATGTCAAATCATCATACCAATAGAAACTTCTTTTTGGGTTTTTACCACAAGAATAAGCTGCATCCAATCGTTACTTACACAGTTGATATTTGGTCTTTGACCCTCAAATGGTAGCTGCAAAATCATTCAAGAAAGATAGATGTAAACATAAATCATAATAATCTTGTTCATAAGACTGAATACTGAATTAAATCAATAAAAAATCGAGAAATTTACCTTGATTGTGTTCAAGATGATCCTTCTGATGATGTTCCATGCAATTGAGAAGGTATTTGAAGGTTTCAATCTCGCAAGGGATGGTGAGGCCACCACTATGATCAAATCCAAATTCCTCTTCAACTTTTTGCAGAAGAACTTTGAAGAGTGGATCACTAAGATAGCTTGTGGGAATGATGAACCTCCGAAGCTCAGGGCCTACATAGACTGCCAAATACCCTCTGGGCACATCGTTTGGTGGATCAGGACTCTGGCATCCGTCTTCAATGTCTGAATCAGAATAAACAGAGTATCCCTTCAACCTCATGGTTATTGCTGGATTAATTCCTCCACCTGGATGATTACCAATAGTCATGGGAGGATTGTTATCAGCATCATCATCATTATCATTTCCTCTTGCCCCAAGTGTCACATGCTGCCATCTTTGGATAATTTCTTTAAGCCTAACAATCTGTCGGATGCCGTTTAGTTTGGTTCCTAAATTTTCATCCATTCTTGTAATCCTAAGATCTTCCCTCGCTGAATTGTGAAAAACTTGAGTTGTTAAATAAACGGAGTGCAAAAGTAAACGCCTTATGAATAAGTTAATAGAGACAAACACCAATTTGGAGAAGAGAAATAGATCAAGGTCAACTAAACAGAGTAATGAAACGCAAAATATCGAAAGAAAGTACCCACATGGATTTAACTTAACGTGAAAGAAAAAGATACCGTAAATCAGTTAGATAAGTATAAAAGAAACCTGAAGGTGGTGGTCGGCGGCGGAGGAGGAGGAGGAGGACGATGATCAAGAGCAAGACGCGGTGTTGTTGTTCTTGAAATGGGGTAGAAATAAGTAGACAGAAACAGAGAGATCTGATTCGTATATGTCCAGATTATTGTTCAGTAATTAAGAGCAGAAGGGGAATTTGATGGGAATGGAACTGAATTGTGGAATCCTTTTACGTTTTTCCTATTCTCCTTTCTTGGACTAACATCATTTCTCCACGCCTACTTACGGGTTTTATGCATCATAAAAATTTGAATTTTTTTTTTCCGTGGGTGGAAAGTAAAGCTTAAAATAAATAAATGAAAGGGTATGCTGAGTTGGTGTTGCTGACTATATTCTCCTTTGGTTTTTTCAAGAAAAATGTGTTTTGAGACAAAAATATTTATATTTGTTGCATTCCTCGAGTTTGGAGAGGAATAAAAGAAAGAAACCTTAACAATCTTTGTGCATGTTGTCAAGTTGGATAAGTAAAATATAAAGTCATTTCAATTTTGTTTTGTGTTTTTAAAGAACCCGTAAAAGTTTTTTTTTTTTTTTTTTTTTTTTTTTTGTTTGTTTTTTTTTCTATATTAGTGACTTAGGTGGTGTTTGTTTTTTGTCTGCAGATCTGCGTGATCTCTTCTGTCTGCGCCGCGCAGACCACGTGCAGACATTAGCCTTCACATACTGTTTGTTTTTTCGAAGACTGCAGACCTAAAAATGTCTGCACGCCCTCTTCTTGGCGCAGATGTGGACCGGAATCTTCTAACATCTTCTAGCTTAAAAAAACAAATATATCTTCATTTTTTTAAGTTTTTTATTTATTTATATTTTTTCAAACTTTATTAATGATAAACAATTTGAAAAAAAATTACAAAACTTAAAAAAAAACGTTCGACGATACAAACATGATATTTTTGACAAATTTATAAATAAAGATTTATTACAATAATAGTCGTTGAAGTTGTTTATATAAATATGAAAAAAAATCATAATATATATTCTTATATTTTTTTGCCAAATTTTGTAAAACATTATTTAATACAGTATCGTCAATTTCTCGAGAAAATATTTATAGTACGTTTTTAATGGATTTAATTGAAAAAATCGAAGTTTATTTCCATCCATTTATGTATCAAATTCTTTGATCCCTAATTATAATGTTTAGTTATAACTTTGCAACCAAAGTTGTTGGTTTTTATCAAATATATACGTTAATTCATACCATTTTTATTTTTATTTTTTATACAATAATAGATAAAAGTTGATCTAGATTTGTTAATTATTTATAACAAAGTCATAAAAATATTAAAAGATCACTTTGAAGTTTAAAAAATTCAGTTCATTTAGATTTCAGTTTATTTTAGTAGCCCGCAGATGTTAAAAAAACAATCAGTCTTATTTTTTCAGACTGCAGACGTTTGGTCCACCTCTTCTACTGCAGAGGTCTACAGATGTGGTCCGCAGACTGTAGACATTTTGCAATCTGAAAAAAGAAGACTGTTTGTTTTTTTTAACATCTGCAGACTGCTAGAATAAACTAAAATCTAATTAAACCGATTTTTTTTTAACATAAAAGAGTTTTTCAATAATTTTATAAATTTATTATAGATAATTAACAAATGTAGACCGACTTTTATATATTATTGTATAAAAAGTGAAAATAAAATGGTACGAATTAACGTATATATTTGATAAAAACCAACAAACTTTGGTCCAAAGATATATCTAAACATTGTAAATAAGGATAAAAGAATTTAACACGTAAAATGAATGGAAAGAAACTTTGATTTTAAATGAAATTTTCAAAATTTTCATTTTACCTTTTCAATTAAATCAATTAAAAATTTGCCATAAATATTTATTCCAAGAAATGAATGATATTGCATTAAATAATATTTTATAAAATTTGGCACAAAAAATATAAGACGATATTACGATTTTTTTTTCATATCTATATAAACAGCTCTAACGACCATTATTGTAATTAAATTTTGTTTTATAAATTTGTCACAAAAGTAATAATTGTGTCGTCGAACCTTTTTTTTTAAGTATTGTAACTTTTTTTTTCCAAATTGTTTATCATAGATACAGTTGGAATAAATCAAAGTTTAAAAAAAAAAAAAACTAAGACATGTGTTTTTTATGTTAGAAGATGTTTGAAGACTATGATCCACATCTACGCCAAGAAGAGGATGCACAGACCTTTTTAGATCTGTAGTCTTCAAAAAACAAACAGGCTACGAAGCCTAATGTTTGCGCGTGGTCTGCGCGGCGTAGACAGAAGATGCTAAGAAGATCTGCAGATAAAAAACAAACAACACCTTAATATAAACTCAAATAAATCAAAAACCCCATAATATGTTTAGGGAAATCTCTAATACGTAATTTTTTACCTTATTTATTAAAAATCCATGATCTTATTTTTTTTAACATAAAGGACAAAAAATCAAATTATTTATATAAAATAACAAGAAATTGTCAATAGTTACATATTTGAAATTTTAGACATTGACCTTTAGAAAATCCATATACTTTAGGTTCGTTAACAATAAACCAATGATTTTGATTTTTAATAGAAAATGACATTGATAATAAAATTATGGGATAATGACTTGAAAAGATAACGAACTTTCAACTTCGTTTATATTTAGTCACCGAATGTTTTTCGTGCTTGATTTACCCCTGAATTATTTGAAAGTGTTCACATTTTACATTTATTACCGGTTGTAACCGGTCATAAGGATAAAATGTGAACACTTTCAAATAATTCAGGGGTAAATCAAACACGAAAAAAAATTAAGTGACTAAATATGAACAAAGTTGAAAGTTCGTTACCTTTTCAAGTCATTATCCCTTTTTGTAATCATTTCTTAGTTTATTTTACCCATCCGTAGCAATTACTTAGATTCATAATTTTTATTTTAGGCACTACGATTTGTTTTGTGTTGTGTTTGTAAGAAGTATTACGGAATAGAATACGTACCACATAACTATGTTGTAGCTCATAACTTTAATCTTAGTCCATGAGATAAATTTTTAACTATAATTTCTTTATTTACCTATTAGTGAAACGCCAACCCATAAAGAAAAAATAATATGTAGAGTTTCACAAAAGGCAAAAAGAGATATATACGAGCAATAAAATGAAAAATAAGATCGAAAATCAAAAGGAGCACAATGAGAATGTACATATAGAACCAACAAACAAATAGAAAATGTAGATGTAAGTAATAACTAGGAAGAAAAGTATTGGCAAAAACAAGCTGAAAGTAAAAAACAATGAAAACTGGGAAAAATGCACAAACAATGTAAATGAAGCTAACACCTACACTACTCATGTACTGCTCCACGACCCTGATCTTATGCATCCATACTCTCTAATAAAATCTTGTGTCGTTGTAAAGAGAAAAACTTCATTCAAAATCTAACACCACATTATATCCACACTTCTTTATCATATGTTCTCTCTTCTCACACGATTTACAACGACCATCTCCACCATCTGGAGTTAAAATTGCCGCCTATGTCCTAAGTAAATGTTTGAAACCACCATAATCTTTTTTCCTTCGGTTTCTATGTAATTAAAGTCGCTCCTACTACATTTTTAAGTGTTGTTTTTGGTACCTTATACAATAAATGCATATCATACGATTACTACTAGGGATGAGCAACGGGCCGAACCCGGAGCAGACCGGTCCGAAGACCGAAAATCGTGAATTACCTTATCCGAAAACCGGACCATTTTTGGGTGTATCGGGTCTGGGTTCGGTCCGGTCTGCTTCCGAGTACTAAACCGGGTTTCGGGTCCGGGTTAAATCCTGTATTCCGGGTACGGTCGAGTCCAAACCCGAAACCCGATTAGTGGTAAAAACAAAACCCAAAAACCGGACCACTAATATTTATATCCGGTCCGATCCGGGTTTTTTTTTCGGTCCGGTCCGGTCCAACGGGTCGTATGCTCATCCTTAATTACTACAACATCTTTACTTTTGTGACCTCTATATTCCATTTATGCTCATTCTTAATAACATTTAGAACCATTTATGGGATAGTGACTTGAAAGGTTAACGAACTTCAATTTTTTTAACATTTAGTCATTGAGCTTTTTCATGCTTAATTTACCATTGAATTATTTGAAATTGTTCACATTTTACCCTTATGACTGGTTGTCATCGGTCATAAGGGTAACATGTGAACAATTTTCAAATAATTCAAGGGTAAATAAAGCACGAAAAAAAGTTCAATGACTAAATGTGAACAAACTTGAAAGTTCGTTACTTTTTCAAGTCATTATCCCTAAAATTAAACTAAGATAGTAACACCCTTTGTCACACGAAAAAATATAGTAAGAAATTAATAAGACAAACCCTTTATAAGTCAGATAGTATACAATATATCATAATAAGTTAGTATATTCTATGAGATAAAGAAAATAAACTAATATTACATTAAGATAGATATTATACGTTTATATTAAAATAATAACATTTTTTAGATAAATAAAGAATACAATAAGATTTTAAACACAAGACACTTTATCAAATAAAGATAATATAATAAGATAATACTTTTTTTTGTCAAACCTTGAGAATATATAATAAGAGAATATCATATGTACAACAAGGAGAATATAATAAATTTACAATAAGATAATATCATTTGTCAAATAGAGAATATAGTAAGATTCAATAAGACAAGATCCTCTGTATCTGTGTGACGTATGACAGATACGTACCTGTATGACAAAGTCTATATACTAAGATAATACCTTCTGTAAGAGAGAACAATAAGATTGTAGCAAGACAATATTATTTGTTAGATATAGAGAATATAATTAGATTACAATAAGATACTATCATATGCCATATAGAAAGTAAACTGTTAGATTTCAATAAAACAAGACCATACATCAAATAAAGTAAATATAGTAATATAATACATTCTGTCAGATAAAAAAGACATAAAATGTATAATAAATAATACTTTGTTATTTTCTGGTTATAAAACCAATGACTCGATCATTAATGAGCGATGTTTATGAAAACTAGCGACTAAAAATCCAAAATTACTATCTAAAACCATAAATTTATAAATGATTGTAATTTTTTTCCTTTATGTAAACAATTTTTGTTATTTGTCTTATACCTGTTCAGAAAATGAAACCAATGCATTTTTCATACATACTACCAAAGTTTCGAGATTTCTCATATCTTTACTACAGTAAAAAAT